AATACCTGAAAAAAGGCTAGGGATTTAGCTCAGTGGCACAGCCCCTGGCTGGCAAGTGCAAGGTCCTGTGTTTGATTCCCGGTACAAAAAAAAAAAAAAAAAACAGAAAAGATGTTTAATGTCAGTCAAGAAATGCAAATCAAATTCTCAAAACCACAAGATAAAATAAGCAGCCTCAGGATGTGGAGAAATCAGACCCTTGTCCCCTCTGCTGGGAATGTAAGTGCAGCTGCTCTGGGGAACAGGCAGTTCCTCAAAAAGGGGGTGACCATGTGGGCAACTCACTTCCAGGGGTATACCCAGGGCAATTTTACCGGAACACGTCCACGCACACACCAGTATGCAAATGTGTGCTGCCTCATGATCCACAGCAGTCATGGAAAGACCCAAATACCCATTTGCCAATAAATCAATAACGTGCTGTCCAAGTGATGCCTATTACTCAACCTTAAGAAGGAACAGAGCCTGGCCTGGGATATAGCTCAGTGGCACAGTGTCTGCCTGGAAAGATCTGAGTTCGAGTCCCTGTACAAAAAAAAAAACCAGCCCCACCACAGGCTGCACCGTGGACGGACCCTGCTAAGTGAAGTGCTGAGAGAAAGAAGCCAGATGCAGACAGGGCAGATTTGTGATCCCATCACTGTGAAACCTGTTGCAGCAAGTCCATGGAGGGGAGAACTGATCCTTGCTAAGAGAAGGGGAATGGGGAGTGAGGGGAGAAGGCACAGCGTTTGCTTTTGGGGTGAAGAAGCTCTGGAATGAGTGATGACAACAGCACGGCCCTGGGAATCTATGAGCAACCCCTGAGATGTGGGTTTTACGGTATATGACTTACAGCTAAAATACACACAGGGTGCAGCCCGAGGCGTTTAGGTGAGTGGCGGGCTTGTCTCTAAGGGCTCTGCCATCTTCGCCCCTAGTCCAGGATCTTCTCCGCACAAGGGAATTGGGGGGGGGGGCGGGGAGCTGCTCCAGCAGGGTCCTGGGACTGCAGCGGGGAAGGTGGGGGCGGCCCTGCCCTCAGCTCCCCTTCCTCTCCCTTGCGGGGGAGGACACCAAAAGGATGCTTGCTCCAGGCAGCTGGGGCGCAGGAATCCCAGGCATGTGGCCCGGGGCCCAGGTTTTCCAGCAGGCCTTCCTCCCGCTGCCTGGGAGGCTGGGTGGGGCCCCATCCAGCCTGGAGTCTGAGGTGCCTGGCAGTCTGGCCACCCACACCAGAGCCCGTACAGCCCCCTCTCAGCGCTGGGCTGGGCCACAGCAGGAGTGCTGCGGTGCTTGTGCACTACAGGTCTTTCCTGCCCTTACCGGCAGCCTGACGAACCAGCTCCTCCGGCCGAAGGGCTGGGGCGGGGTGCAGCCCAAGGCGGCCAAACCAGCCCCAGCTTCAGGTGCTTGGCCTGCCACCGTGGTCATGGGGCTTCCCCGGAGGCAGCCTCGCCCTGGGCTGCTGCTCCTCTGGGTGCTGCCGTGGCTGCAGCCCAGCTTGTGCCTGGGTGAGTTGGGGTCTGGGGAGGAACTGAGGTGCCGGGCACCTGCTGCAGGGAATGGGTCCTGGCAGCCCCTGAACTGGCACGGGCAATCCCACGGGCAGGGGTTCCCCAGGACCCTCATGCTGACCTCCACTGCACACCTTTGTTCCCCATGGCCACAGAGCTGGTCCCCTACACGCCACAGATCACGGCCTGGGACCTGGAAGGGAGGGTCACGGCCACCACGTTCTCCCTGGAGCAGCCCCGCTGTGTCTTTGATGGGCGTGCAGGTGCCGACGACACCATCTGGCTGGTGGTGGCCTTCAGCAATGGTGTGCAGTGCGGGTCTAGGGTAGGGGGCAAGGGCCCAAGGGGAGCTGCAGGGTCCGGGGAGCCCCTCGCCAATGCCTGCAGTGTAGGGTGCCAACTGGGAGCCCCTGGAGGGTGGGTGTGGACGAGGATAGGGCTTAATCTTGGGGGACTAGAGGGGGTGCCAAAGCCTGTCCTGTCCCTAGACTTGACCGTGGGGCCCTCAAGGGTCAGGACGAGAGGCTCTGGCGGGGTGCCCTGGGCTGGTGAAGGCAGCTGGTCACCAGGACAAGGCCTGTCTCCCCTGTCCCCCATCTGTCTGTCCCTCTGTCCTGCAGCCTCCAGGAACTTCCAGAACCCACAGACCTTGGCTGAGATCCCCACAACCCCACAGCTGCTGACCGATGGCCACTACATGACGCTGCCCTTGTCCCCAGACCAGCTGCCCTGTGAGGACCCTCGGGGTGGCAGTGGAGGGGTCCCCTTGCTTCGAGTGGGCAATGACTTCAGCTGCCAACAGCAGCCCTACTGCAATGCTCCCCTGCCTGGCCCAGGGCCGTACAGGTGGGTGGTCTCAGCCCGCCCCCCCACCCTGAGCTGGGCTGTGCTGGGGGAGGGGCACAGTACTGGGATTTTAGGCATTTGTTACTGCACCCTGCTTCCTACCCCCTTTTACAGATGAAGAAACTGAGGCATAGAGTTCCAAGTAGTCTGCTGAGGTTGGGGTGGCGCTGGGATGGGAAAGCCGGTGTCTCCTTGGTGTCCAGGTGGGGGCTGCCGTGTCAGGAGAGGCCAGGGAGGAGTGGAGGAGGCAGGGCCTGCAGAGGCAGACCTGGGCCTCATCCACCCAGCCTCCACTGCCCTCTCACCCAGCCATCCACGCCGTCCTGCCAGGCCTCCAGCCTCACCCCTGCCCCCATTCCCAGCAGCCAACCTTTCCAGCCTGCTGGGTCCCCACAGCACACTTTCCAGCACTCCCACCACCCAGAAATACTGCACCATCAGGGCTCCTCCACTCTGCTCCTGATACCCAGCCCCTGAGCACGCCCCCCACCTCTGAGCCTTTGGGTTTTTTGGGGGGGTCCCTGTTTAGAGGCCTTCACTGGACTCCACAGGCCAGCACCTCAGTCCTCCCAGAGGCCAGGGACACCTTCCCTGAGCATCCTGCCGGGGTGCACAGCACGGCCTGGCCTGGTCCAGACAGCTGTCCGCAGAGCACCTGCCTGGTCAGACACACGTGGGCTGCTGGTGTAGGCCACGAGACCAAAGGGGCCTTGGAGGGTTCTCCCGGCCCGGCCCGGCCCAGCCCAGCCCAGCCCACTTTGGGGATGCCCTGCCCAAGGCAGACAGTGCCTCACTCTCAGCCCTGCTCCCCCGCGGCCTCCTGTCCTCAGCGTGAAGTTCCTCCTGATGGATGGCTCTGGCTCTCCCAAGGCTGAGACCAGGTGGTCGGACGCCATTACTCTCCGCCAAGGTAGTGCTGGGTCGGGGGGCGCTCGCGCTATGGGGCCTGGGGTCGACCCTGTCTTTCTGTTCATCCCCAAGCGTCTGCCAACCCTTGGGTGTCCAGGCCCCAGCCCTGTGATGGGCAGAAGCAGCCTCCCCTTCTTACAGGTCAGGGGTGGGAGTTGCCTGGGAGATGGGCTGCCAAGGTGGCTGGGTGGGGGTCCTGCCATCTGAAGTTCTTAAGTGCCGGGCTCCGGGGAGCAGGGCGGTGACGTGGTCAGTCTTGAGGTCTGCAGCTACTCTGCTTGTGTGGGGGGCAGTGGTGGGAATGGTCTACAACAGGGGTCCCCAAACCCCATGCCCTTGGATCTGTACCAGTCTGCGGCCTGTAAGGAACTGGCCGCACAGCAGTAGGTGGAAGCGGAAGCTTCAGCTATTTCAGCCCCAAATCACCGCCTCTGGTCAGCTCAGCTGGGCCCTGGATTCTCCTAGGAGCGCGCGCCTGCTGTGAACTGCGCATGCGCGGGACCTAGGGCGCGCACTTCTCATGAGAATCTAACGTAATAGTAATAATAGGAATAAAGTGCCTGATAGATGGAATGTGCTTGAATCATCCAGGAACCATCAGGCACACTCAATCCCCCATCTGGGGGAAAAACTTTTCCTGGTGTCAAAAATGTTGGGGACCGCTGGTCTAGAAGGGGAGGGGAGGCCAGACCAATGGGCGGTCCAGGCTGGACTGAGAGGGACGCGGTGGACCCAGGAGGCTGTCTGGGCCCACGAGGTAGCCCAGCCTTGAGGCCTGAGCGGGGGTGGGGAGGGAGGGAAGGGACAGCCGGCCTGGGGTGAGCGGCCTGTGTGTTCAGGGAAGGCCCCGGGCTCCATCGACACGTGGCCCGGCCGTCGGAGCGGCTGCATGGTCGTCATCACCTCCATCCTCTCGTCTCTGGCTAGCCTCCTGCTCCTGGCCTTCCTGGCAGCCTCCACCGTGCGCTTGTGAGTGACCACTGCGGGCCCCTCCCATCCAGAAGCCCTTGCCTGTCCCTGTCCCGCTGCGGGCAGTCTCCCTCTTACACGGTGCTGGTTCTGAGCCGGAGGAGGCCCTTCTCACTTGGGAGGCAGGGAGGTGATCTAAGACAGGTCGGGAGCAGACATCTTGGTCCAGCCCTGCCCTCTGATGTGTCCTCTGTCAGGCCCTTCTCCTGGGCCTTAGTTCTTTTCCATGAGCCTGGGGAGTGTGGAGAATTGGCCCGGGGTGGTCCTGGGGGTGGCACCTGCAGCCGGCGGGAAGGTGTGAGCAGAGGCTGTGGGGTGAGTGTGCTGGGCAGGGGAAGCAGGCCGGACCTGGCGGCCTCCCCCGGCCGGGGACACAGCACCGCCTCCTCTTTTCCCGCGCAGCTCCAGCCTGTGGTGGCCCGAGGAGGTCCCCGAGCAGCTGCGGATCGGCTCCTTCATGGGCAAGCGCTACATGACCCACCACATCCCGCCCAGCGAGGCCGCCACTCTGCCAGTGGGGTGTGAGCCAGGCCTGGACCCCCTCCCTAGCCTCAGCCCTTAGCCTGGCCTCTGCCCCCCCAGGCCTTTCCCCAGGGCACCCCAACTGCCCGGAGTCCTCCCTGGCTGCCCCCACTCCACCACCCCAGGTGTCTGTGAGTGCCCCAGGTGTCAGGCTGGGCATCCAACCCTGCCCCTGTCCCCAGCCCTATTCTGCAGGCCCTCCTTGTGGGTGAGTCCGGAGGCAGTGGACTGGCCTCCCTGACCAGGAACTTTAGATCACGGGGGAAACTGAGGCCCTGAGATGACCCCTTGATTGCTAACTCCTAGGTCACACAGACACCCACTCACTCACTTCGGGGCCAGCAGCTACCAGGGGTGCAGCGTGTGTGGATTGGACCCAGCTATGCTCTGCCTGGGTAGGGGGTTGGGTTGGGCCCATCCCGGGGCCTATGAGGCCTGAGCCGTCCTTATCCCAGCCAAACGCTGGGGCTGAGATGCAGGCTTTAGGGGCATCCCCGCTGTGCCAGGGACTGGCTCTTCCTATGGGGGACTCAGAGGCCAGAGGGTCAGGCAGTGTAGACAGACATTGTGACCGGCTAGTTACAGGTTCCGGCCACCACTTCCAAGCCTCGTGCTCTCAGCTGCTCACTCACATCCCTTGTTGAGCACCCGCTCTATGCCGCGCAGTGTTAGACGTGGGGGCTCGGGCAGAGCTGGTCCTGACCTTGGGGTCTTCCTGCTCTGGACCTCAGACAGATGTGTCCAAATGTGACCTGTTGGTACATTTGTGGGTCTGTCACACCTTCAGACTGTCACTTTCTGCCTCACACTCCCTCAGGCAGTCGCTGCAGTGGGCTCTCTGCGGGTCAAGAGACCCCTATTCCTGGCAAAGTCTCACTGCAGACGCCCCGCCAAGTGTCACCTGTTCCCAAGGTCGGTAGTTCCCGCATCGCCACACGAGGGCGCCAGTGCGCCGTGGCTAGCCTGCCTAGGCCCGGATGGGCTCCTGCCCACAGCCCCGCCCCCTGCCTGAGCACCTGCTGTGCTCCCTTCCATCAGCACTGCTGCAGTGGTTTCTTAGAGAAACTGGAGTTCCGGGAACGACTCGCGTGCGCGCTCTGTCCAGCCAACCACTCTGTGTCCCCCGGGACACCCTGCTTGCCCTCTTTGGAGGCGAATAAAAGTGATGTGGCCTCCGTGACTGGAGTCCTGTAGCCCCGGGCTGCCCTAAGCGCCCTTGATTGCCGTCCTTGCTCGTGCTTTGTGGTGAGCCTTCTAGGGCACAGAGGAAGCCCCCCCACCCGCCTTTTTAGGGCCAGGCAGCCACACTGTATGCAGTGAATGCGAATCCCTCCAGGCACCCGCTTCAGGGAAAAGACGACTACCTCCGCCTACCTGCCCCGCCCCCACCCCCGGGTGCAGACAGCAGCGCGGAGCCATCAGGCCGGAAGCCACCTGAGGCGGCTACTTCGGAACTTCTGCTATTGAGGAGCCTGGGGACGCTGGGCCTGGGGGTTGGGAGAGGGTTGGATGCAGAGCAGTCCCGCACTGAATTGGCTCTGGAGGGTGTAACAGGAAGGAAGACCGAGGTGTTTGCAAAGCGATGGGCAGATCCTCCCAGGGCCCAAGGATCCATTTGGAGCTGGCCAGACCACAGCCGGCATCCGAGGGTCTCCCATGCTTGTTTTCTGTGCCAAGTGCGGCCTGGGGCCTGACCGGGGAAATGGTCACCAAATGGACATAGCAGCACTAGGAAGTGACTGAATCCGAGCCCAGGGGCGCCTGGAGGGGCAGTCTGTGGATCCCTACTGAGGGTCAAAGGGGGCTTCCCAGGGGCCAAGGGCAGGGGAGGAGAGGCAGTCAGCCCAGGTGTAACCTGTCCCAACCGGCAGTGGCACGGGCCTGAGCCAGAGTAGACAAGGGGGCTGCAGAGGCTGGGTGGGCCCCAGGAATGTTCACTGGCCGTAGGAACTGAGAGATCAGCAGGAGCTAGGAGGCCACACCTGGGTCTGTTCTTACTTTCATTTTTTCTGTCTTTCTTCTCTGTTTCCTTCCTTTAAAAAAAAAAAAAAAAAAAAAAATTAAACCCAGGGCCCTCACACGGAGCTACATCTCCAGAACCTTATTTATTTTAAAATAGATTTTGCTAAATTGCCCAGGCTGGGGTCACATTTGCAATACTCCTGCCTCAGCTTCCCCAGTTGCCGGGATGACAGGCATGTGCCATCACACTCAGCTAGACCTGGCTTTCTGACACAAGCAGAGGTGAAAATGCAGAACAGAAGCCGATTTTGCTCCAACAGTGCCCACACCAACCACCCCAGTTTGCCTCTCTGCAGACCCCCAGAGCCAGGCTTTTGGGGACATCCTCTTAACAGCTGGTGGTGTCCTCAAGAACATTAGCAAACGCCGGGCGTGGTGGCGCACGCCTGTAATCCCAGCACTCGGTAGGCTGAGGAAGGAGGATCGGATTGTCACGAGTTCAAGACCAGCCTGGGCTACAAAGTGAGTTCAAGGCCAGCCTGAACTGCATAGCGAGACCCTGTCTCAAAAAGACAAAAAAAAAAAAAAAAAAAGAGAGCATTAGTAAGCAGCTAATCCTTTATGAGGCTAGAAGCCTACCTTGGGTCAGCAGGGGGCTGCCCCACTGTGCTGTTTTGCCCTGGGTTCCTGAGGTCATCATGCCAAAATGTCACAGAGACCAGGGCCACTCTCCAGCATGCGCACAGCCACGTTAGGGAGCTGGGCCAGGCATTCTGCCCAGCGTCACACACAAGCAGAGCGTCAGCCAACCCCGCCGGCTTGGGACAGCCTCGGGCAGAGCACAGAGTGTGAAAACCTTCCAGTGAGCGGTGTCGTGCATCTGGGGAGCACCCTGAGGCCCACTGGCCTGTGAATGCATGGCTCAGTGCTCAAAACCAGGTTCACTGTGAAGACAGAGAAGCAGGAGGCTGGTGGGGCGCTGACTCACGGGCCCAGAACCAGGAAGACGCAGCAGGTGGGGCCGGGCGTCACTGTGCCCTCTCCTCCCTGCTCTGAACCATCCAGGTCTCCCCGTGGCCTCGCACTCCCAGGCCATCAGTCTGGTGCCTCAGGGGGCCAGCAGCTGGCCTCTCGCTGGATTCCTGCTTCTGTTCTGACCCCACACCCATGTCCCTCCCTAGTCCAGAGGGCCCAGATTATAACCCGGACCCCATTACATCTCTGCTCGGGACTTCCAAGGACTCCGCGCTGCAAGCGCAGAATCTAGAGTCTCCATCCGGGTTGCAGGGGGCCAGGACCCACCCCTTCCTCACTGCATTCCAGCCCGCAGACCCTCAGGCAGCCTCTCATGCCACAGAGCCTTTGCACACACTTTCCCCTGTCTAGACCACACTCCTCCACTTGGCTCTGTAGCCCTGTAGTCCATTCCTCAGTGCAGTGACCCTCAGCTCTCCCAGAGCCTTGCACTTTTCCTTTCCAGAGTGATTTTTCTTCTGAGGTTTGATAAGAGCCCAGGGCCTCACATATGCTAAGCACACCTGCTAGCACTGAGCCACTCCCCTGGGCCCTGAAATCAGGAGCTTTTGCATCTCCTTAACTAGACTGAAAAGTGCAAGAGGGCAGAGGCCAACCGTGTCTGCTTTTGCCCACCAAGGTTCCCTGGAGTCTGCACAGTGCCAGCTGCCGATAGATACATAATAAAGGTTTGTTGACTGAAAACATTATATATATATATTCAAGCTGAGCATGGTGGCCTATGCCTGTGATTCTATTACTCTGGGAGGCTCAGACAAGAGGATCACAAGTTCTAGCCCAGCTTGGGCAACAGAGTAACTTAGAGAGACCTTGTTTCAAAATAAATTTTTAAAAAAGGGCTGGTGATGTAGCTCAGTGCAAAGCCCCTGGGTTCAAACTCCAGTACCAAAAAAAAAAAAAAAAAAAAACGTAGAGAGAAGGGAGGGAAGAAAGAAATAGAAAGAGAATCATACTCTGTACGCCCTTTTCTGCCGCGTTCTTCCCCTGAGCGTCATCTAGGGGAGAAGAGGCAGCAGCAGCCCCATGCTCCGCCTGTCCTTAGCTTTACCGCTCACGCCCTTTCCTCTCCATACCCGTGCATTTCTTAGTCATTTGTAACTGGGTGGAGCTGCGTTCCAGTGTCCGGGCTGGTGGGGTTGGCTCCCACAGGACAGCTGTCAAGGAGGCACGGCCTACAGGGGCCCGGGAGTCCAACACTGAGTGTTCTCAGCTGCAAACAGCGAGAACCAACTCCGCGGTTAGCTTTGAAGGAGGCTGGAGAGCTTGGAGAGCTGGGGCTGGGGCCCACTCCCCGTGTTACAGACGGCTGAGTTAGGTAGAAATATCCTTGGTGGTCAGACAGGGCCAGGCCCTCAAGCGAGCCATTGCAGAGGATGAGAACACAGTTGAGCTGTGGCTGGAGGCGCAGTCCTGGAAGGCCCAGCCTCAAGGTAAAGATGGAATAACTACACCTACGTCCCTGCCCGAGGGCGAGACAATAATGACCATTCTAAATAGGCAACCCTCACCATAGTGAGTGACCAGGCCCTCCTGACCCAGTCCTTCCAAAAAAGGTCCTGGCTCTTTCCATGCTGTGTAATTCGCTTCCTCATTGGATCAATACTAGTTAAACAACTTTACTTGCAATCTTATTGGTTGATCATAGTTTTGTCCCACCTTATGCCCACCTTGTGACTTTGCTCTATAAAACTTCCTTTTTTGTTTTTTTTCCAGTACCAGGAATCGAACTCACAACCTCATGCTTGCCAGGCAGGTGCTGTGCCACTGAGCTAAATCCCCAGCCCCAAAACTTCCTTTGGGAAGTGGGCTTGTGGGCAACCTACTTTCCGGGTCTCCTCCTGTCTCTCTTAGGCAGGAGCTGTCTTTCCCTCAATAAAATTTCCTCCTCTTAAGCACTGTTGTTCCTCAGAATTTGTTCTTTGATTTTGAGAAACATGAACCTGGTGTTTCAGACATCTAGCAGGTTGGGAGTTATAGTATTTCCCTTATATCATTTGGAAGTTCCTGATATCTTCCTCTGGCACTGGGACCTGAGCTTGGAGCAAGGCTGCATGGCCTGCGTCCCGCTGTGGGGGCTGCTGGCCCTCTCACCTCTCAAAGCTGGGCATGGTGGCTATTATCCTGACCCACAGAACCTCCAGCAGGTCAGACTCTGGTCTGTGTTAGATGCCTTGGTATCACTATAACAAAATAGCTGAGAAGTTCATTTATAGAGAGAAAGCTGAAGAGGTTTCTCAGCCTCACGGCTGGCGAGGGTCCAGGCCTGATTCACCGATCTCATTGGTTTTCGTCTTTGAGGGACAGCACATTAGCTGAGCATATGCAGAGCAGAACTGCTCACACACAAGTCAGGAAACCGAGGAGGAGAAAGGGCAGCACGCATCATGGTGCACACCAGTAATGCCAGCACTCTGGGAGGCTGAGGCAGGAGGATCACAAGTTCAAGCCTAGCCTGGGCAACTTAGTGACTTGACGAGACCGTGTCTTGAAATACAATGCATAGGCAATAAAGGCTATGGGTTCAATCCCGAGTACCCCCAAAAGCTGGGGGAGGCAGGGGCCCCACAGTCCCAGTCAAGGGCATACCCCCTCAGGGGTCCCCTGCTCCACCTGAAAGTTCTACCACTTCCCAGTAGTGCCAGCCTAGGGACCAGCCTTTATCATGTGTCTGCATTACAGACAGCTAAGTAGGTACGAATATGGTAGGCAATCAGACGGGGCTGGGCCCTGGGGAGTCAGTGCAGAAGGTGAGAATCCATCAGGACCCTGGCTGGAGGCGCATCTGAAGATTAAAGTCACAGTGGCTAGTTCTACATACTTCCCTAAGGGATGAACAAGGTTTGGGACTATTGGTGTCACCCTTTCAAGATTTCCCATTATCTCATTAGGGGTGGGCCGTCTTCTCCCACCTACTAAGGCTAAGACTAAAAACATTAAGGCTGCGTTGGGGATGTAGCTCAGCGGTATAAGCACCTGCCTGGGCAAATGCAAGGTCCTGAGTTCAATTCCTAGTACCAAAAAGTAAAGTAAAACCACGAAGACTATAGATTATTGACCAAAGTTAGCAGTGTCACCCATCTACCATTGGGTCAATATTACCTAAGTGGCTATACTTGCTATCTTATTGGTTATAATTTTGACCCACGTTGTACCCGCCTCATGAGATTTTGCTCTATAAAACTTCTTTTGAGAGGTGAGCTCATTGGCAACCCATTCGGCTGGCCTTGAGCTCACTTTGTAGCCCAGGCTGGTCTTGAACTCACAATGATCCTCCTGCCTCAGCCTCCTGAGTGCTAGGATTACAGGGATGCACCACCATACCCGGCTTCAGTAGTTATTTCTATTCCCCACTCCTTTCTTCCAATACATTTTCCTACTCTTGACTTCCATTGTTTCTTGGAATTCATTCTTTGACTTCAAGGAACACAGACTCGGGAGTATTTGACATCTATCAATTCCCCTGTATCACAGGGACATTTACCTGCAGTGGCCTGGTACAGGTATGGTGACCGGAGGGGCACCTGGCTGCAAGGGAGGCTGGGAAGTCGTGCGTGCTGGCAGCTGTCGTGGGAGGAGGGTTTCAGGCCTATGGATAGTAGCCCAGGCTGTGCTCAAACTTGTCATCCTCCTGCCTCAGCCTCCCAGAGCGCTGGGATTAGAGGCGTGTGCCACCACACCTGACTCTTTGAGATGCTTTTTGTTATTTCAGAGGACAAAACTGTCACCTTGACCATGCGTTGCTGTTGACTTAGAGCTCCTAGGCCCTTCCCCAGGTCACTCTGCAGAGCTCATGGGACAGAGCTGGATGGCAGAGTAGCCCTGACAACCCAGCCCACTGCCTCCCTGGATCCCGAGCTGCCCCTGCCAGTGGCAGCCTGGAAGCAGTGGAGGCTGGGAGGTGTCCCCTTCTCCAGGGGAACAGCAGGACCCAGGAGCAGGGGGACCTCACTGTTCACTCTGCGCCCCCGCCCCCAGCACCCACTGCTAAGCAAGACGCAGGCCGGGGACCCAGCCCAGGTCCCTGCCAGGGGCTCAGCTCCGGTCCCAGTCCCTGCTCTCTAAGCGGGCAGGGAGGCTCACCCTGGCTGCAGACTGAGCCGGCATCCCCTCCAGATTCCCGTGCTGTACCTCGGCTGTGACTATACACAGGGACGAAGCCTTAGGAGAGGTGACAAAGTTAAAATGCACCCCAGCTGCCCGGTGTCCTTTAAGAGATCAGGGCATAGGGACACTGGGACCCGCGTGCACAGGGGAAAGACAGGGTGACCCAGGAGAAGTCAGCCCCGCCAACACCTCCACTGGGGATTTGCAGCCTCCAGAATGCCAAGGACACCTTGTCTGGTGTTTAAACCGCCCAGGGGGTTTTGTTACGTGATCCCGCTCGGCACCCCTCCGTTATGCTGTCTGAGATCCAAGCATCCAGAGGGCTGAAGCGCACGGGGCGGGTGTTGGTGTTGGAGACTGCATTTAACTGGCAGCCAACAGGCAAAGAAGAGAAAGAGGTCAAAGGCTTTCCGGGCGGAAGGAACTGAATACAAAGGCATGGAGGTGGACACGGCCTGGGGTGGTGGACTTGTGCGCACCCGCTCCCTCTTGCTGGGCTGCGGGTTCTAGGCGAGCTGCTCCTCCCCAGGAGCTAGAGAAGCTGGAGGTCGCGAGGGCCTGCCTGGCCCTTGCACCTCCCCTTCCAGACCCCGTGCTTGTCTGAGCCTGGATGTCCCTGACTCCTGGGGACAAAGCCGAGGCAGCAGATGGGAGCCTCGTTGGCCGTCAGTCCCCCACCAGGCAGCCCTCCCTGTTTCTCCTGGCCTGGCTTCTCCTCTGTGAAATGAGCATCCATTCGAGAAGGTCTTTATGTTCTATCTCTGCTTAACCCCTGTTAAGAGTCCTGTGGGTGCCGAGCCAGTTACCCAGGGAGAAGAATGTTGCCCTTGACAAGCACTCTTCCCCCTGGCCTCTCCCCCTCAGGGACTGAGAGGAAAGTCCCATTAATCACCCCGCCTCTTCCTTTCCTTCCCCAGCCCCCTCCCATTCCCCCTTGGATAGTGGAGGCGGCCCAAGTCCCCAAGGGTATTTCATGCACCCTTGGGGTTCAGCCTCACTGGCCCAGCCCCTGTCTGTGGCTCAGCCTGGAATCCACAGGGCGGGGGCAGATGGGCGGCAGCTGGGAGTGGGGTCAGAACATCTGACACCTCTGAGCACCTCTTCCTCCTGGGCCTTGTGCCGGGCAGAGCTGGGGGCTGGGGTGGGACCTGGCCTAAGAAGCCCAATGCAGAAGGCAGGCACTGTAACAGGGGAGGCGCTGGTCCAGCCTGGGGGCAGGTCTCCAGGGGGCTTCCTGGAGGGGGTGGCACAGAGCTGGAGACGGTCGGGGTAGAGGGGGAGAAAGAACGAGGCATCACAGTGGGTGTGTTGAGGAGCTCAGTCATTTGGATTTTTGTGTTTTCTTTTTCCGGTACCAGGAATTGAACTCACGACCTTGCACTTGCCAGGCAGGCTCTGTGCCACTGAGCTAAATCCCCAGCCCATGCTCAGTCATTTGGGATGGCAAGAGGGTAACATAGTGTCTTCGCTACTCTTTGCTGGGACAAAACACCCAACAGCCACAGTCTATAAGGAGGACAGGTTTACTTTGGCTCCCGGCTTCAGAAGTTCCTGTCCATGGAGGGCTCACTCAGATGCAGACAAGGCCTGGTGGAAAGGCCTGGGCTGAGGACAACTGCTCACATCACAGTGGCGAGGAAGCAGAGTGAAGGGAGGAGCCGGGAGGAAGATGCACCCTTCCTTCAGCTATGATTGAGCCATGAACTCATTACTGGAGGAACCCACTGATGAGCACAGCACCCCCATGATCCAGCCACTTTCCAAAACCCCCACCTGTAAACACAGACTTTGTGGGACATTTTTGGTCTAAAGCAGATCGGGATGGTGTCCTGGGGCAAAGTGTGTGAGGCCCCAAAGCCACCACAAGTAGCTGAGCAGTGCAGGGGACTGATCTAAGAAGGCAGTGTGAGTGGCAGGGGGTGGGGGGCAAGCCCAGGGTTTGGTGTGAGCCAGGCCCTGGGGGACAGTGACATTGAGTGGGGTCTCTCCCAGCAACCCTTTGCTGTACAGCTATCTGGAACATGTCAGGAAAACTGAGCTCACGGCTGAACACAACTCCATGAGCTGCCCCAACACTGTACAGAGCTGAAGAACCACCCAGCTGAGCCCCACCCACCTCCAGCGTGGTGACAGCAGATCAAATGTTTTTTTTTAAGGCTCAGAATTTGGGGGGATTTGTTGTGCAGCAGTAGACAGGAGATCCAGGGCCTCTGCCTCTACTGAGCTTCTGTTCAGTCTCAGGTTGCTCCATAGTCCTGCCTCCTCTGGTTCATCTGGGATCACCTTCAAGGATCTCCCTAAGAAACTCTCTCTTTGATGACTCATCTGGGGTCACCTTGTCAAGGATCTCCCTAAGAAACTCTCTCTTTGATGACTCAACTCCAGGGCCTACTCAGGTTTCCCTGAAGCCTGCACATTATGGTTTAGGCCTGGGGTGTCCCCCCAAAGCCTCCTGTGTTTGCAAGGTGACTGGATCACGGGGGCACTATATTGAATGTGCTAAACGTGCTGTCAGGAGGTGGGCGGAGTCCGAGGTGGTCCCTGGGTGTAACCTGGAAGGGTCTATCTCCCTCCCCCGCTGTTCTCTTCTCTTGCCACTTCCTGACCACCATGATGTGAGCAACTTTTTTCCTACCAGATGCTTCCACTGTGCTGTTTCTGTCTTAGGACCAGCCAACCAGAGACTGAAACCTCTAAAACCCTAAACCAGAATAAACCTCTCCTGCTTTAAGTTGTAGGGGTCAGGAATTGTGTCTTAGTGTTGAGGGAAGTGGCCGAGACACTGTAT